CACTTATAGAACAAACATTCCCCCACAGAATATAAAAAAAGTGACTCTCTAACTTCCAGTTTTCGAGGAAATAAATGCCAAACTCCGGCCTGCAAAAAGAACCTTCCAAACCAAACAAAATTTTGAAAATTTGTCAAAAACTGTCCGATGATGAAGCAAAATCGAGACGCTGTCCACTTATAGAACAAACATCCCCCCACAGAAGATATAAAAAGTGACTCTCTAGCTTTTCCAGTTTTCGAGGAAATAAATGTCAAACTCCGGCCTGCAAAAAGAACATTCCAAACCAAACAAAAGTTTGAAAATTTGTCAAAAATTGTCCGATGATGAAGCAAAATTGAGGCGCTGTCCACTTATAGAACAAACATTCCCCCACATAATATAAAAAAGTGACCCTCTAACTTTTCCAGTTTTCGAGGAAATAAATGGCAAACTCCGGCCTGCAAACAGAACCTTTCAAACCAAACAAAAGTTTGAAAACTTGTAAAAAATTGTCTGATGATGACACAATGCGACGCTCCATTGTATATTTGGTCTGCATTTCATTTTCGTTGAGTGGAGGGTTCCTCCAGAGCGGATTTTTGAACTTTGTGATTCTGAAGCACGTTTGGAAAGAACCACTAGTGGAACCCAAATGCGTCGCATGTGGTTCTGCAGAAACCAGGCCGTTTCGCAGGGCTTTCGCGCTTCTTGCCATTCAAGAACAAAATCGGCTTATATAACGGAATTAATGCGGCGAAAGTCTCGTTTCGCAAACAAACAAACGAAAAAACACCACAAAATCACTCACTATTAGAAATTAGTGCCAATTAGCGCCACTAATACGATTTTTATGATCGCTTTTCAATAACAAAGCTCGCTTGCATCGCTTTCCTTTACATGTGGTTGTGATTCTGGCTGTTGGAAGTGCGATCTGCAGCCGCTTGATACGAAAAATTGCGCTTCTTTGGCATGTTTTTCAAGTCGAATGCCTCGCCGCTGAAAATCACTTGCATTAGTGCTGGCGGCGCTCGAATGACGGTACTTTGCGCATTCTGCTGGAAAATCTAATAAGTCAAATTACAGCCGCTTAAGGTCATAGTCTATTTTCCATGGTAATTTTCGCCGGTGGATCGAGAGTAATTGGCATAATTGCGGATGGAGTGACGTTAAGGAATTTTCCTCCTCAACGCAGCAGACGCCCAATTAATCAAGCGCGTTAGCAGTTGCGCATTTTTCCGCATCCTACGCGCAAAAGAAACGGATTTGCTGAAGGTGGATTTCCATCGAAAAGCAATTATTCACCTGTAAATGTACATGAAAACGCTGTGGCCGCAGTTGGTACCGCTATTTTGAGCCGATGTGGGCTGCGAGTCAATTTCTTTCAGTCAATTCACCCCTGCCTCTCATCAGCGGCCAAACAATCAATTAGATGGATAATACTCAAAGGCTTCTCGCATAAATATTCAGATTTCACTGCGACTTTACGCCTAACTATGCTGATTTCACATACAAATCTAGAAAGAAGTGTGTCAAATGTAAGCGAGCTTTGGCCAGCTTGAAACTGAATTTCTTCAGTGAAAATGTTTGTCTAATGCGAACCGGAATTGATTGAAGATTGGCGATATTTTGCGGCATTTTCAACGAACTTGCCACATTCTTCGCATGCCGGGCATCAGCAGCAGGCGCTACAAGAAGGATTTCGGCTTCAAGATGATTATAACTGTATCAAAGCCATTAGAGCAACCACGCAGGTATTACGTAGGTCATCTATATGGTTTGTTAGTGGTGATTCGAGCTGTAAGTTTCGTGTGTCTGACCTGAGAGGATGGAAATTTGCGTTTCTTGTCAAGGGCACCGCATCTAGTTTGAAAGCAAATGTTTTCCTCTCTAAATGTACCACGCAAATATGTTTTTCGCTGTAACCGAAGACACGCATTGAAGAAGATGCAGTTGAAGATGCTCCGCAGCTGTTGGACGTTTTCTAATGAGACAAACATTTTTCTTACTAGTTTGGAGGGAATTAGCGAAGAAAGTCGCCGATAAATGTGCAGACTTTTTTGGGTTCTTTACATCTTGTGCCTCCACCGTCATTATACAGAATGTTTTCCAACATATTCGCTTTCAATCTATTAAGATTAAGGTTGTAGCCGGCAATAAAGGAAGCTTCG